GAATGCATTAAAAGTAAAATCCAGGGGCACCTGGGTGGCTCAGTCAGTTAAGCATCTGGCCTTCAGCTCAGGTCATGATCCCAGGGTCCTGGGATTGAGCCCCGAATCGGGCTCCCTGCTCGGTGGGAAGCCTGCTTCTCCCTCTCCCATTCCCCCTGCTTGTGTTCCCTCTCTCGCTGTGTCTCTCTCTGTCACATAAATAAAATCTTTAAAAAAAATAAAATAAAAAAGGCTGACAAAAGTCTTGCTGGCTCAAAATAATAAGAATATTAGTGATCATATAAAAGACACAAAAGTAGAAAAAAAGTTATATATTCCATCTACACACCCACTAACATTACCACAAAAAATTCACAATAGTTGCAGAGGGGAGATTTAAGAATTTGGAAGCCAGTGGCTCAGGCTGTCTGTGGAAAGGACACACATGGCACCAAATAGCTTTTACTGAGCATGTATTCTGTAGACCCTGCAATAGACACCAAATACAGAATAATCACCAGTGTGTCAACTCAGTCAGTGTCATGAGGAGAATTTTAGTGGAGAAAATACTTACCAATTACATGATACCTGACAGCTCCATTATTGCCAGAATCCATATCAGAAGCCAAAACAGTGTAGACAACCCCTGGCACTTGGTTTTCCAGAACCTCAATGTCATGACTGGGGACAATAATCTCTGGTGCGTGATCGTTCTCATCTTCTACAGTACAGAGAATTGTCGTGGTGCCAGATAATGAAGGGACTCCTCCATCTCGCACGAGTACTGATGTGAAATAAAAGATGGCACAGACTGTGGCCATAAATTCATGCCTAAAATATATTGCCCCAACTAGACTGCTGCATCAGACCAAACTAACTGGGTAGCACTGGGTCAATAACAGTTTACTAAAGACATTCTACAGACACGTAAAATTTCACCACTAACCTCCTGCTGCCTACTTTTGTTTGTACCATAGTCAGGCATCCCTTACCTCGAAGGGTGAAAACTTCCCGAACTTCTCTGTCAAGTATGGTGGTGGTCACTACCTCTCCAGTGTCAGGATTTATCTTGAAGAACCCAGATGAAGCCCCTGGCATGATTTCAAACTGAAACTTGGAATTGATTCCTTAAGAAAAATATAAAGAAAAACTTACTAACTATCCCTTTGGAAACATTTCGTCTGTTTTCCTATGAACATGTTAGGCCAGAGATGAGAAAGGCAAGACGTTTAAACAACCTTCAAATTAAGGTAAAACACACACACACACACACACACACACACACACACTCACCTCTTTTGGCTGTTCTTGCTAAATAAAAGCCTCATGGGCTGAAATGCTTGATTTTCAAAAGTCTTAGGAGACTTCCCCACAGTGAATGCTTAAGATTTTTTCCCTCCCATAAAAAATTTCTTATGAGTGCGCAACCCTACAATATATTCCTAATTACTCCTTCTAACACTCCTGATTGTGATTTAGTGACATAATTGTATGCTTACGGGGCAAAGGACAATTTCTGTAGATCGACTCCCTACTTAAAAGCTTGTGCTCAGTTATGGTATTCTGTTTATTCTCCAGTGCAGGAGGCAAGCACATAGACTTGCTATATGCATATTTTTGTTTTATTTTCTACTTAGTATTCAGGCTCCTATCTGGAGTGAGAAATGTGGTACCACATTAGCATGCATTTTGAAAACAATGCTTCCCATTTTTTTGTGGTTTCATTTCTTCCCTGAGAAAAGCATCATGTCATTTCCATCATTGATTATGAAGATCATTCATACCATTAACTTAAATGAGCTTATCCCATGCTGTTGTAGCTTATTTGCACTTTATACAAATTCCTTCCAATTATTTTCCTATCTTCTTTTTTAACTGATGAGAATCTACAAATAGACATAGTACTTAGAATATATGATTTTATAATTCAATAGAAAATGAAATACTATTTTTTGGCCTTAACAACAACAACAAAACTTCAATTACAAATTCCATCTTGCCAGTCTTAAAAGTTTTCATTCCACTATTTACTGGATATAATATAGGACTGAGTGCTGGAGGGAGTGGAGTATAAGTCTAGTTTTATGTAAGAATAAATATAGATGTCTTCTTATTATGTCCTTGAAAGAGAAAGGATATTTAACATAGTCTGCAGACGTTTTAAGGACCTTAAGAAAAAAAAAAATCTAATAAGATACAATCAGTATATTTGATATGGTGTGGTCAGAGGTCACCAAAAACTTACTGTTCTATCAGTAGACATTAGGCATATTATTCCATTAGTGATTATTTAATAATTAAAGTGATTACTTTGGTCTCATAATGATCACATACTCTCTTCTATAGCCAAGACAAAAATTCTAAAAATTCCAGGTTAAATTTGTTATTCCTGTTTATCTCTTTGTACATTAGGAAAATGGGAACAATACCATCTTACATCTGTTTTCCTGTCCCTCAAATATTTGGTGAGCAAAATTAGATGTCAAGCACAGAGCTATTTGCCCAAGACACAGCAGTGAATCAAATGGGTATGGCCTCAGCCTTCAGAGAGCTTACACAGAGAACAGCATTTCTGTGTTTTTGGACCCTTTATTTTTAAAATCAACTCACTCATTTATTATATGATTTTATCATACATTACACATTATGTTATATTTTATATATTACATTATGTATTTTAATATTTATTTAAAATATTTAATATTTTAATTCCCAATGCCTGTCAAACCTAGAAAATGTTTAAAAATAAACTCAAATCTTTATGTTTTCCCTTCCTCCCATTGCTCCCATTATTCTGTAATGTGCTTTACCATTCTCCTCAATATGTTCCTGACTTTTTCGAAACTTTCAGATTTTATTATTTCCATTATGCTATATAGCTTTTATCCCTGAGATAACAAGCCATTCACTTTCAACCTCCCTAGTATATTAAGAATAAATAAGATTCTTAATTACACCATAGTTTGCATGCATACATTTTTTACATACATTTTCACACTCCAAACTTTACACCCTTCATAACTTAAATTATGTGAAATAACTTTAAAATATTTTACAATGGCTCTTTTAGAATTTAATTAGTGCCTTGCTTCTTCTTCCTCACAACCTGTAATTATCCAGGACAAACATAGCATCATCAGACATGAGAACCAAGAAAATAAAAATAAAATAGAGATTATTTAGTCTAATTTCATCACCTTCCTAAGCACAGTGGAAATTGGGATCTGAAGATATTCAGTGATATGACACACCCAGTGAAGGGGGCATGTGTCTATGGACACATACATATATTGCTCTTAGATCTCAAGACCTACAGCATATGACCTCTTATTTTTCCTTCTTTTGGGCACCCTTCTCAATTCAGTTCTGTCCCTTTCCAGTCCAGCCTCATGAATGATCACTTTTGCAACTGTGCAACTTTCCTCAGTCCTGTGGCTTTGTGCCAAAGATGCCCAGCAAAGCCTCAATCCAGCATCATTCCAACCATCTCTCTGCCCTCCCGGGACATCCAGCAGATAACTGGGGCTGCAGAAAATGTCACAACAGCATAGACTGGCACCACGGAAATGTCATTGTCATCAGGCAGTCTTTCCAGCTTTCCTGTGTCATCTCTCTCCCACTCATGTCTCCCACCCAGCACTTCCTGGCTCATTCTTTTTTTTTTTTCTTCATTCCTGGTTTAATGGTCTGCAAAGCATGCGTGATCGAGGTCAGAGATAGGGAGGCCCTGCCAGGCTCTCCCTCTCCACCTCAATAGAAATGGCGTGGTGGCCAGGTACATGGCCAGGCCCAGTACACGGGGTTCCCCCACCGAGAAAGAATCCGATGGTCTGAGGAACTCCTGTGCCGAGCCCTTCCTGGCTCATTCTTATAGATCGCTTTCCTTCCTATTTCCTGGAGAAAATGAAGGCATGGGAAGCATTCTCTCAACTTGTGTCTACATTCAACTCTAACTCCTGGTTTCTGTTTTGGTGGCCAAAGTAATTCTTCAAGTGCTTCCTCTTGGAATTTTCTTATTATTTATAGCCTTTTTTTATTAGTTTTTCCCTTAAATTATATTCTTCTCTAGCTATAGGGATCAAATTTTTTTCCTTCTCTTTATAACCAAGTTTCTTCTAAAAATGCTATCCCTTCTTTGCAACCAGCTTGAAATTGTCATACCTAGCTACTCTTTCTACAGTCATCTCTGTTTACAGAACATACTGGTCATCTTTGTTTTTATCTGATTTGTCTTCTCTGTGGCTTCAAATATTGCTGACTGATGTTTAAAAAGATGGAAAGGAAGGAACAAAGAGAGAGAGAAAAGAGAGGAGAGAAGCGGGGGAGGAATTCATTCTGCCTCCCCCTCAATTCACTGTTTTCAGTTTCTATCCATTTGCAGATAACACCCGTGTGTCTGCATTGAGCTCCAACTATTTGGTTGCTCCATTCATTCATTCATTCATTCATGTGTTCATTCATTCATGTGCTCATTCATGCAATGCACATATATTGAGTGCCAGGCACTGGAAAGATACTCTCGACTAATAAGTAATTACCTTGGTCCTCAAATTTCCCCTTTCATGTGGAAACAATTAAATCAATGAATTATAGACAGTGTGATAGAATACGTGAAATCACTGAGGAAGTGGACCAGGGAAGACTCACTCCAGGTAGATGGTCTGTTCACTGATTACCTTGTTAAATAAACATAGAGAGAGAGTGAGAGCAGGTGCCAAGGTACTATGCCAGGTGCTAAGAATGTAACTGTTAGCAGGAAGACAAATTCTCTACCCTCATGGTGCTTGCAGTATAGCGCTGCACACGGAGAAGTAAGCAGGCCATTATGATTCCATATAAGATATCATTGGGAAACTATGGTTGCCTTCTGTATAAGCTGAGACTCTAAAGATGAATAGGACTTAACAAGCATGAAAGAAGAAGGAAGGTTTGAATGCATTAAAAGTAAAATCCAGGGGCACCTGGGTGGCTCAGTCAGTTAAGCATCTGGCCTTCAGCTCAGGTCATGATCCCAGGGTCCTGGGATCGAGTCCCACATCGGGCTCTCTGCTCAGTGGGGAGTCTGCTTCTCCCCCTGCCTGTTGTGCTTTCTCTCCCTCTCTCTGTCAAGTAAACAAATAAAATCAAGCTCCGCAAGGCCCGGCCCTTTTTTTTAGGTTCAGATAACCTTGACCTCCTCCATTTTCCAGTGTTCGGGGTGGTAGCTGTTCCTACGGTGATTTTTCCTGGGTTACTTCTGGATTCCTTTTTGCTTACTCAGCTTTCCAACACCTGTATTATAATCTCTGGTTTTCCTGACCACACCTGACTGATGGAGTATTTAGCAGCAGGAGTGGGTCTCAGGCATCAGAGATTCTGGGTTTGGTTATGTCTTGGCCTTGCATGCTGTGCTGAGTTCTCTGACCATGGGAAATGGAATACCAGTAATTGATGACTGGCAGTAATACTATAATCGATTAAGTTATCACCTGTGTTTGATTGTGAGGGAGTCATCATCAAAGGACTCAAGTTCCATAGAGGACCAAATGACTCTGGCCGTAGGGGAGTAAAAGGGATTGTGATGAGTGATGGCTGCTTCTGGATATACTAGGAACTTGCAGAAAGAAAACTACAAGCTGAAGCTGAAGCTTGCAGGTCAGTCATAGTTAAAAACCAGAAAGTTTCTATATGAGCCTGAAAATTAATCTTCCTGAAGATCAGACCCAAGCCTAGTGGCAGATACAACAGGTAACTTCTAGCAAGGAGATGTTTATTCACATAAAGACCCATAACTAGAGTCATCCCAACATTTTGCAGGCAGCTAGGTGCAAATCTGACTCTCCTTCTAAAGAATGGCAGGATTTTTCTAAGTTATATTGGAATAAACCTAGGGAATCTGTGTGGAAGCCATTTCTAAGGATGTGAGACCCAGGGAAATAAAATAGAACTTTGGTTTAGGCTGGAATTATTGGTGTCATGTGCCTAGCAGTGATTCTGAATTGAATGTGTTAGCTCATAGCTATGTCTCTCAATGGTTTCTTTGATGGGCTCATTTAATAGTGGCCTATCCTCACTGAGGTTGAGATGCCAGATCTCTTGTATACTGTACAGGAAGAATCCAAAAGTTTGAAGAACCAGAAATGCTAGG